ATATATATATATATATATATATATATATATATATATATATATACATACAGGTGTCCATATAGTTTGTGTGCACTTTAAAAAATCATATCTTTATTTGTATTTGTGATAGAAATAATCTGTAAAAATGTTATAAATTTAATGTACCTAGTTTTAAGTATAGCTAAATTAACTAATGTGATTTCAGGCATTACTGTAAATCAGTTGGCAAATGTTATCCGTGAACTGTAAAATCGTATTACCCTTTGTATTGCTAATGATGGAGGACATGTGGAAACTTAAATACAACTTCAATAAAACCTTAAAAAAGTATAGATTTACTTCTTTCCAATCCTTTTTAAAAATTATTTCTATCGCAAAATATATATAAAGCTATAAATTTTTAAAAGTGCACACGAACTTTATGGACACCTTTCTCTCTCTCTCTCTCTCTCTCTCTCTCTCTCTATACCTTACCTACGAACACTAATTAGTATGTCCCTATTCTCATAAATACTTCGGACACTATTGCAAGTCGGGGTAATATGTTGTATAAGTAGTCCACCAATAGCAGTGGTTTACCTATTTCATGCCGCTGGTGAGTATTGTATTTTGTTGATGTTATAAAGATTAGCATTTCATTTCGAACCTCCGCTTAGGTTATGCCTTTCTAGGTTACAACAATAAATCATCATCATTCCTCGGCGTCTGTGTGGTTGATCGGGAATTCCATTAACAATACCTTTCCACACTGCTCGGTTCTGCATTGCCGTCCCAAGATCCCCAACGTCCAACCCTTAGTCTCGAGCCATGCCGTTTAAATTTCGAACTGGGTAAATAAGGGCGGGAATGCTGGTGCAGTAAGTGGACGTCATAATAGCTCTTTTAGTAGCTGATAAAAAGAAATGTGGGACGCCAATCCTACATTATATATATATATATATATATATATATATATAGTAATTGTTCGGATTAAGTCTTCGCTGTGGTCACTAGACTTAATGAATTTGGGCGTAGTACAAGACGGGCGACGAGGGCTCATCAATTACCTATTGAATTGGTGAGATATAAACGTAAGTTCTACGCTAATAGTTTCTTTTCTTTCACTTCCAGCTTGTGGATCACTCTCACGACCCTTTGCGTTCCAGCCAACTTTAATCTTCAAAAACTTAAAAGCAATGTCAATCGTTACACACATATATATATATATATATATATATATATATATATATATATATATAAACTATAGATAACTAGACTCGTTTCGAAAAACCCTCGAATTTTTGATTTGCTAATCAAATCAATCTCGAGGGAAAAAAAGGTTTTAAAAAAAAAAAGAAAGAGCTACAAACATAAACTTCTGCCGACAAAAAAAATCGCACAGATGCAGGTCTGAAGCCCAAAGAAAAAACCCCGATACGAGTAACAACTAACTAACAAAAGAGCAGACCTAGATACACCTAGTGAGCCAGACATACCTACCTAGGTTTCACCTAAACGGATCGTCAGGGATTTCCCTGACGATCCGTTTAGGTGAAAACCTAGGTAGGTTTGTCTGGCTCACTAGGTGTATCTATCTATCTCTCTCTCTCTCTCTCTCTCTCTCTATATATATATATATATATATATATATATATATATATATATATAGATAAGGATATATATTTTTAGATATCAAGAACAGTATTGAGAAAATTTTAGGACAGATTCCCACATGGCCTCAAACTCAACACGGCGGCCTACATCAAGTGCCCTGAGAATGTAGTACTGCACTGGAAATAGGACTCTGCATCATGCTACAGAAGCAGGGGAACCCAGTCATGGCTGTCAAACAATTACTGCGACCATATCACGCCTTACATCTGGCCACCTAACTCCCCAGGCTGCAACCCCCTTGATTATGTATGAGGCGCTGTTGAGTGAGAGACAAAACTCCCTGTCACACCAAAGATAAACTGTAGATAAAGATTATGGCAACATTCACCAACTTAAACAAGGAGTCCGTCCAGAAGAGTTGCATGAGATTCCGAAGTCGTCAGTAGTCCGTGGTTCGAAGCCAATGGCGATTTTATTGAAAGAATTTGCTCTTTAGTTTTTCAAGATATTTTTGTGTTATTTTGGTAAATATATGTGTTAAAATGAAATGGCAGGGTTATTTTCATTTTTTCGTAATTTAGACGACAATTCATCCATCGCATCCTCTATGTGTTTGTCTTCGGTTGTTTGGAAAATAACTTCTGATTTTGAATAAACCTTTTGTGCTCCATTGTATTATTATAATAGTTGCACGCATAAAACGTTATTCATTCTTAATGATTAACGTGTCCGCTGTTAATTTTATTACGATCTCTTACACAATTTGGCATTAAAACCTTATATAACCCTCATCTTGAAAACGACAAAACACTTTCCAAAACCGAAATTTCCCCAAACGGGTATTATGCGACCACCATTGGCGTTATTCCTTACAGTTTTCTTTAATCTAACCAGAGCATTACTGTCGATGTTTAATACCAGCAACTGGATGAAATGCTTATTCAGTTAATTAAGATGCGACTGACACTGGTTAATCGACGAGGCCAAATTCTGCTTCATGATAATGCTCGGCCACATATTACCAGTATGATGTTGCAGTTTTTTTGTGCATATTATGTACTAGTGAGCCAGTCAAAATGACTTGACTCATTTTATAGTCCACCAAGCGAAGGGTTAACAAATTAGAAGACGTAGAATATTCAATCCGTCGTGTATAAAGTTAGCCATTTTGTTTACTCTCTCCGAATGTACAGTGCCAACTTTTCAGGCGAAAGAACAGAAGGAGGAACTACTGAACTACGCTCTGCTACTTTCTTACTGTCTTCGAAATATTCACTGCTGACCTCTGGATTCTATACTCAAAGACGACCGTCACCATGAACAACATATGACACTTCAGAAACACACCGACTTGGGATACGAGATTTTGCCGCGTCCAGCATATTCATTTGAACTCCCCATTGACTATATTTTTTAAAGTATCTTTTAAATATTTTAAGCCAAAATTCATTCGTTGCAAAGATACAGAAACTGCATCCAAGAATTTCCTGGCGTTCAGAACTTCAGGGATTTATCATAAGAAAATAAATGACCTTGTAACACGATGGTAGAAATTTATAAATGTCCATGGTTCATATTTTGACTGATTTAATCATTTTTTAAAAATATATTAGTTCAGGAATAAATGTTGATTCAAAATTGGGCATTATTTTCCGAACGACCTAATATATAAAATGACACAAATGGATATACGTAAAATTATCTTATTTAACGTATGTCAATATTTCTTTAAACATTTCACCACCAATCAAGGCAATAGAGCCACTGAGACGCAAATCTGGGTACTGAGTGTTGAAGAATATTAAAAAAATATATACTAATAAGGAGAGAAGACAATAAAAGAACAATAATTAAGAAGATAACGATTGACATTGCATTTAGATTTTTGAAGAAAAAAAATTGACTGGGAAACAAGAAACCGGAAAAGAGTTTAACAAGCGAGAGGTGCGAGAAAAGAGTTTTAACATAGAGCTTACGGATGCGTCTAGACATTTCAATTGTGAAAGGGTGAAACCTAACTGCCGTAATGCGTTTAGATTCATAAATAGTAACATAGTAAAAACTTTATCAGAACAATTACCATGAAATTATTTAGAGAAAAAAAACAAAACAAGAAAAGACTCAAGGAAACTACGTTAAGGCGGTGGGAAAAGAACTGAAACCAAGCTGCCAGGTTAGGACTAATTGTAGAATAACAATAATAAACAGCACTTACCGGCGTAAAGGTCCCAGCTAGCGTCCAGCTGGCAGACAAAAATGAGAATAAGTTTATACAGAACTGTGTTCGTAAGTGTACTTAATAAATATCTAAAGTCGATGGTCATGCAAATCGTTTCCTTAGAAGGAGATATTCGGCATTCAGTGACCGAACAGCCAAGGCTGACGTCGATTAAAATTTATATAATCTATCTTTTAAAACAATATTTTTCAGGAGAATCAGTTTTTAAAGTTCAGTTACTGTTACTTATTTTTTTCCAATGTTGATTCAAGCTTCCTTCCTAAACTTTTGCGTCAAACATTTTTTTTTATTTTATCTTCAAGTTGCATGCACTGTCCATGTTATCTGTTGCTGTAACTGAAAGTTCTCAAGTGATGTGGTTTCTGTTATTCGCTACAGTATATTGTGATACTCTAGCGCTAATCCACGGGATTCGAATGAAAAAAGGATAGTCCTCACTAAGATCTACTGATTTCATTCGTTCGAAGTCATTTAAATTTTTTTCTTAATTCACCTAAGCAAGGCAATAATGCCACTAACACGCAAAGGGCTACTGAGGGTGAAACAGAATGAAAAGACTGGAAGTAAGCGGAAAACCAATCTTAAAAATGAAAGAAGAGATAAACATCTGCTTCTGTTGAAAGGAGTGTGAACAGGACGACAGATGAACCTATCTATTCATATTAAGAAAAATAAAGTGTAAATAAAATTTCAGAGTTTAGGCGATGTAAGAACTATAGAGTTTTAGAGATTAGTCAGACAGTCATTTATGTGCCATACATGATACACGCTTAGGCGATCATGTATCTTTTGATACATGACTGACGAGGCAGGTTTTTTTTCCCCAGTAGGTTGCAATTTCTTTCTGCTGTAGGTCAGTTGCCACCCAAGTCTATAGAACCCGACTGTCTTGCTATTCACCCATAGCTGGTGGGCTTTGGAGAAGAGGATTCATACATTTCCCAAAGATATTATCACGTAAGTAAATGTAATGGATTCGACTGGAATTCGAACTCGACTCTCCGATTCCTCAATCCGAGCCGCTATCCATTACTCCACCGTGAGATTAGTAGGAACCGAAAATCCAATCCTAAACAGAAAATAAACATTTAATCTAATTAAAAAATGTCAAACCTCTAACCCTGTAAAAAAAAAAACAAAAAAAAAAAACACTCAGCCCTTCTCAGGATCAGGCTAAAGGCCAAATCACATTCAAACACCGGTTCTCGTTCAATCACAGGAGTTAAGCAACGTCGAGCCTGGTCAGTAACTAGATGGGTGACCGCTTGGAAATACCAGTTGCTGTAAGCTTGGATATGCGGCTCGAAATTAGAAATCAGATAGCCGAGTTCCAATACCAGACGTGTTCGTTATATTCACTTAAATGTAAATATCTTTGGGAAAGGTAAGAATCCATCTCTTCTCCTGTCAGCTGTGGTTTATAACTTATCTAAATCCAAGGAACGTTAACACTGTAAGACATTTAGTCTGTTATAGATAAGTGTCGGGAATTTTTATTTATTAATTATAATAATAACAGCAAAAATAATATATTGTCAATGAATTAATGATTCAAATGCCTTATAATTAGACCAATTTTAATGTTTCACGGACATACCACTTTGTGTCCACAAAACTTCGAAGCTGATCGAAAGAGTCATTTGAATAGTGATTGATTATTGACTCTTGTTTTTGTTTCTCTATAGATAATTTTCGTAACATAAGTTCTCTGCACTTGAACGTGGTTAAATTCTAGTAATTGTACGTCTTTTGATAGGTGTTTGCTTCACCTAACACCGTAGTTCGCTACAAAACAAAAGATTTACCGGAAAACTAGATTTATTTTCTTAACGACTTTCTTAGATCAAAAGTCATTAATGTCTTTGAGGGAACGATATCTATAACTCCTAGAGAGGATCAGACCTCTGAGAAATTTGTGAACTGTCGCTAAAGTATGACAAACAACTGTGCCAGATAACAGTAACTACTTCATGTCTTGCAACAACAGCAAAAAAAAAAACAACCTAATATGGCAGTACATATAACTCGAAAGAAAATAATGACATCAACCAGATTTTGATATTCCACACTTCTCGAAGAAAAGTTGAGGAAGGAAAGCCCCATCTATACTGAAAATAGAATTAACGATGGATTTGAGAAAGCTATTTTTCTGAAAAAAGTGTTTTTAGGGAAAAATTTTATAAATATAAACGAAAGTATAACTGACTGTTTGGTCAATGAACACCAAATAATTTTTTTGTTTTTCTTTTTTATAAGGAAACTACTAATACTCCCATTACCATTGAGATAACTACTGATATATATATATATATATATATATATATATATATATATATATATATATATATATATATAATACTTTTTACCTATGTTAAAATACGCAATACTGCTATGAATCCCACCAACTATCTCTACCTTGCCCTGATGATGATTTAAGAAAGTCGAAAGCGTGTACCACATTTTTTGTACTTTTCTTTCAGAAATTACTCCTTGTTTGACAAGGATTATGCGTAATTAGAAATATCAATCATTAAAATGAATTATATATATATATATATATATATATATATATATACATCTCTCTCCTGCACCCCTTTTTCTTTTCTTTTCCTCTCCCTCCCACTTATTCTGATCTTTAAGATTAGATCGTCTATTGTGTGTGTATGTCACCACAAAATGTATCCTTTCCGGTTACATCTGTAATGTATTAGACATCCGACACCATTCATATTTCTCTCACTGAAACCGTCTTTGACTCACCTCCCTAAAACTTCTCTCTGTTAAGTTTTAATCTCCCACCTTCTCTCGTCTGTTACCACTCTCTATAGCTCTAACATTCGTCCCAAACTCTCATACTTACACTCTCTCTGAATTTTATTTTTTTATTTCCGGAGTTGTTTTTTCTGTTTTCTTTTTGTATTTGTAGGTCTGATGAATTGGATCGTATGTACGATACCAATGGAATAAATTATGACCATGGAATATTAGTGTTTAAGCCTTTTTTATATATATATATATATATATATATATATATATATATATATATATAGATATATAGTTAGTTAGTTAGTTAGTTAATTAGTTAGTATACTATGTCTTCTCTACTCACTGTATTGAACACTTTATTTAGTTAAATGCGTACTCGTATCGGTTTTTTTTTCTTTGGGTTTTGGACTTGCATGCTAGACGATTATTTTCGGCTAACGTACATGTTCTTGGTTCTTTCTTGTTTTTTTTTTTATACCTTTTTTCCCTTTGGTATTGGTTTGATTATTTGCAAATCAAGACACCGAAGGTTTTCCGAACGAGTATAGTTTTTTTTATACTTATAAGATTTCTATTAATGTATATATATATATATATATATATATATATATATATATATATATACAGGTAAGATGAGAACGGATAGAGTACAATTCCAACATTCGTAACATTTAATTTAAAAGAGTAGAGCAAAATATTAGTTATTTTAGGATATTAAATCAAACTCGTGTCAAAAATCGCTACACAACTGCAGTCGTTTTTCGATGCATATCAATACGCCTCCTCAGACATTTGTAAATTAATATATGTGTGTGTGTGGGTCTGCGCATGCGCGCGTGTGTGTATGCTTCTTCGTGTGTGTGCGTGAGCTGAAAATATATGCCTTATGTTCTAAAGGAAATCTTTATGAATTTGACACGTTTCGCCGTTTATTTATGTTCATCTGTAATTTTCTGTAGGAAATTTTTGAGATATTATTCAGTTATTAAATCTTATTTTGCTTTATTTTTATCGGTTGTGTAGATGTCATGTGTTTATTGACGTTCATGTAATTATGATCAACATCATTATCATCCCGTCGCTTTTGGAAACTTCATTTGGACGACCATGTCAGAAAAAATATGATCTGTCGCTTTCCATAGTGGCTAATCTTATGCTGTATGAAGTAAATAGCATAATGTCCTCTGACCATTTTGTACGTTGCCGATTCTGTGCTTTTTTTTTTTACTGATGATCTTTGCCGTTCGGAGCAAGGGTTAGTGTTATGTCTATCAGTTTTTCATATTTTTGCTGTGATTCTGTCGGCTGTGTGGAACGTGACGTGTGTATCTCATTACGTCCGTGTATATGTTTTACTTTTGCAATATTACTTTAGTTTAAGTGCGAATTATATATTGAAAATAATATAAAAAATGTTGGAAGCGAATGTATAATACTAGGTCACATCACATACAAATATTTAAATCTTTCAATTTTTCTTTTTTTAGTAGAGTTCTTTCTTTTTTTCTTTTTTTTGTAACCAAAGCAAGTCAGTAACGCTACTAAGACACAAGGGGTTACTGGGAGTAGAACAATAAGAAAAAAGAAACATTACTAAAGACCGAGAACAAAAGAAGAGTAATCAGAAAAAAAAAAAAACAGTAGATAGCGATTGACATTGCATTTAAATGTTTGAAGATTAAAGTTCGCTGGAATTGATCGAACCGGAATGGAGTTCCTCTCGCGGAAAGTGCGATAAAAAAACAAACAAACAAACAAACAAAAACTGTTAGCATAGAATTTAGCTGTATCTAGCCAATTCAACTGCAAATTGATGAGATCTTGACGCCAGTCTAGTACAGTGCTTAAATTAAAAATGTCTAGGTACCATAACGAAGAGCTCGTCCGGACAGTCGCCATGAAATTAGAACTTTACGGTGATGGGAAAGTGACTGGAGTTGAGATGCTAGACTAAGCCCAATAATATTCCTGGTGCTTCTTTGAATTTTATAAAGGAGCTCAAGATAAATAGCAGACCATATGTGGTAGTAGTATTTTAAGCATGGTCGTGAGGTAGAATTATAGATAAGTAAGAGAGATTCTGGAGAGGATTTTATTTATTTATTTTTCTAATTTTTAAGAAGAATTTTTAAGTCGAAATTATCGTCAGATTTGTTTGATACTAACGAAGCAAATGTGTTATCCAAACGGAAGTCAAGTTTATGTTCATCAATACAGGTCTTTAGATTTCAAACTTCTCGTTTATATATTTCTTAGAGTATTACAGTGAGTTGATATTATATATCCCTGTTTTAGAGGTGGAATATAATATATAAATGTCTATATAAAGGGTGTTCTAATAATTTGTACCGATTTTAAATGTGGATTAAGTTTAAGCGTCTAATGATTTCCATTTTAACATCAAAAAACTAATTAAAGCAATGGAAAGAATCAGTATAAAATAAATAGACACAATATCTCTATATTATTCAAAAAAACATGTTTGAATGAAGATATGCTGCCTAAACACACACACACACACACACACACACACATATATATATATATATATATGTGTGTGTGTGTGTGTGTGTGTGTGTGTGTGTAGGGTGTTCCACTAACTTGAACCGATTTTAAATGTCAATTAAGTTTAAGCGTCTAATGACTTTTTTACTTTTCTTTCATATTTAACAACTTAAATCTTTGGCAATTTCAACCATGAAAAAATGAACAATGAAACAACGTGTGAAAGTTATCGAAGTCTATTACGAAAATGGACGTCCAAACAGAAATGCATTTCGCGCTCTTTGCAATTATTTTGGTCAACATAATCGACAAACCAAGAGTGCAACTGGAAACGATGTAAAGTTTCTGTGGTGAGGTCCAATTCCTGCGCGCGATGACGAATAAAGGTGTCTAGATTTTGGGCCACATTCTCGCGCACTGCAACAATGCTGAACGGCGTAAACAAGCACGCAGTCGTCTTTTCACATCTGCCACCGACCCAGTTTGTTTGAATTTACGAACGATTTTTTTTTCAGTTGCACTCTTGAAACTTTAACATGTTGTTTGATTGTTAATGTTTCCATGGTTGAAATTGCCAATAACTTAAGTTATTAAATCTGAAAGAAAAATAAAAAAAAATCATTAAACGCTTAAACTTAATTCACATTTATTAGAACAATGTTAGGTAAATAAGTGACAAAGTGGAAAAAAAATCCGTGTAACGCTTTTCTTCCTTTAGAAGTCCTCTTTTTTTACGGCATTGTTCACCTTTTACAAGGCCTGGAGGACACTCGATGTACAGGGTTTCACTTAGAGGCCATTTGTGTGTATAGGATGGGGGATAATGATTAATCCTAGCCTTGAACTGGTCAAGATTGTAGTGATCGGGAAAACATCCTATTAGGAGTTGGTTCCACAGTTCCACGAGAAGCTGTTGGAGTGGAACTTACTTCTCACCGATGAGATACGGGGGGAATGTGGATGCTTTGCTACTATGTAAGTGGTACTGCGTGTTCTTGCTGTCAAGTTTTGCCTTGG